TACGGAAAAAAATTAGAAACAAGCGGAAGACACTAACATAATCTAGAGTTTGGTATATTACAATGCCGCCCAGGTTAGCGAGCACGCGACAACAAAACACACACCGCGGCTCGACGGCGTCTTGAAGCTCAAAGTATTGACCTTCCTGCAATTTTCGGGGGAGTATAAGTATGAAATAGAACGATAAAGGCGATTGTGTGAGATTTGAACGGCGACGCTTAATTCGCTAGAACTTGCGCTAACTACTAATCCCTGTGGTTTGTGAAGATTATGGACAAAGACAAGAGAAATATAAGAGAGAAATATGGGAAAGCAAATTCAAACCTGACCTCAATCAATTCATTTAAACTACTGTCCAGCATATCCTTATACTTCGTGATCTCTTGAACATCGAGAAAATCCCATTTTCGACGTTTGTCTTTCTCTTCACCAAGGACTCTAGGATGATGATGAATGAAGTAAACAAGAAATGTGGATATACGAATGGCAATGCCAACCTCTTCTTCGACTGATCTACCTCAAACACGTTCGTCACGACATCATTGATAGTAATTTCGCCGTCGATGTCTTCTTTCCTTTCCTTGTCGTCGATGTTGAGATAGCTCACAAAAAGCTTGCCTTTGCAACAAACCTGAAAAGATCATGCCAATATCAAAGACTGTCTGAGTCGGATCTTTTCTTTACCTCTACTCTGGCCACTCGTTCATTGTCGTTCTCCGTTTTCACAAAAATATGTTTCCCATGTTCGAAAAGCCTTTCACCAACAGTTTGTTCGAGATATCTAACGTGACCGAATAGAACCTCATCTGTACAGGGATTAGTCCCAGTTGCCTCGAAATGCTTTTGATTAACTCGATCAAGAATATATTTAGCGTGCTCATTAGAACCAGAAGCTTACAGCAAAGTAATCTCTCCAGTTAAACGACTCTGTTCTTGGCGGACTGAATATCCTGTCATATTCTAAGCGAGGCTAAAATGCGATCTACTAACAAGCATAACATGCTTAAAAAATAGAAAAGAATCTTCACCAAACCTCTCTGCCAATCAAAATTACCATACTCTGGGAATAAATTTATAAGTTATTATTTTGGTTTTGCGGCTCTAAATCTAAGCTTTGTTGCTAAAGTGATAAGCAAATTTACATAAAGGCCTATCAAGGATCCTGAAATTTCAGAACATCACGTTTGCTTCGCGCGTACCAAATTGCTAAAATCTGCTGTAGGA